TGCCTGAACCCAGGAGGTGGAAGTTGCAGTGAGCCGAGATCATGCCACTGCACTCCAGCCTGGTCAACAGAGCAACACTCAGTCTCAAAAAAAGAACAAACAGGTAAGAACAGCCCAAAAACCCAAGAAAGAAACACAATGAAGGTTTCCAGTTCTGCAAAACATTAAAACACATTATGATCTTAAAGCAGTATGGTGTTGACGCAAGAATAGGTGAACAGATCAGGACAGCAGAAAAATCAGAAATACCCTAAAAAAGATGGAAATAAATTGATTATTCACAAGCTATAGTAAGATAAAGGATAAATGAAGGATAAGTCTAAATGGTAAAAATATATATATATACAAATAGTTGAAGAAAACATTGGTAAATACTTCTACTTGCTGTGAGAATAAATCCGGCTTATGACTCAAACCAAAAAATATTTAAAAATGATTACAATAGGCCGGGCGCGGTGGCTCACGCCTGTAATCCCAGCACTTTGGGAGGCTGAGATGGGTGGATCACGAGGTCAAGAGCTTGAGACCATCCTGGTCAACAAGGTGAAACCCCGTCTCTACTAAAAATATGAAAATTAGCTGGGCATGGTGGTGCACGCCTGTAGTCCCAGCTACTCGGGAGGCTGAGGCAGGAGAATTGCTCGAACCCAGAAGGCAGAGGTTGCGGTGAGTCGAGATCGTGCCATTGCACTCCACTCTGGGTAACAAGAGCGAAACTCTGTCTCAAAAATAAAATGATTACAATATAAAATCAGTATTTTGTGCATGTTAGGAAACGCCATAAGCCTAGTAAGGAAAATGCCAAATGGGCATCTTTTTGCACCTTCCATAACAGAAAAAAAGGAGCACACAATGCCTGTTTGCTCCAGAAAATAAGCTTTCAAAACATACAGGATCATGGTTCAAGGAGGGCAATGTAAAGACTCCCTCACTTAAGATGGGACAATTTGGCTGGGCGCAGTGCCTCACGCCTCTAATCCCAGCACTTTGGGAAGCCTAGGTGGGGGGATCACTTGAGGTCACCAGCCTGGCCAATATGGTGAAACCCCGTGTCTACTAAAAAAACAAAATTAGCCCGGCGTGGTGGTGGGTGCCTGTAATCCCAACTACTCAGCCAGCTAAGGCACGAGAATCACTTGAATCTCGGGGGCAGATATTGCAGTCAGCCGAGATCATGCCACTGCACTCCAGCCTGGGTAACAGAGTGAGACTCGGTCTCAAAGAAAAGAAGTGGGGTGGGGGGGTGTTATAATTTGAGTTCAAAAAGTAGATATAGACTGCAGTATATGGACTCATTAAATACACAAAAATAAGGTTAGAAAAAATACATTTTTAGTGAAAGCTCAGAGAATGAGACGAGGCCACATCTTCAGACGAATTTTCGTCACTCACCGATTAGCTGATTCCCAGTGGAGGAGCCCCACAGGTCGCCAGCGCGACTCTTGTGGCCGCTGCAGCGGTTTTGCCGGAGTCTCGGCGCAGCAGCTCTTCATGCAGAGCCAACGGGACTGCTTCCCCTACTAACCGGAGTTTGGAGCTCCGGGAAGTTAGAGCCGCTTGTTGCGGACTCAAGAGGGAAGCCAGACCAGAGTTTCCCGGGCAGAAGAGCACCATCAGTCTTATCGCTGCTATTTAGGCTGCCACAGTGGGTTGCTCGGATCCCAGCACTGGGAATCAATAAGTCAGACGTCGACTCAGAAACCTAATTAGAAAGGCGGTTCATCTACAATGAAGGGGAAAAAAACAGCCTAAGAAGGCCGAGTATACTCAAAATCAGAACCCATCAGCAACGGAACAAGCCCTGATGGAAAAGGACTCATCAGCAACCAAACAAGCCCTGATGGAAAAGGACTCATCAGTAACGGAACAAGCCCTGATGGAAAAGGACTGTGTTCCATTATCTGAAGTAGGCTTTAAAAGGTGGATGATAAGAAACTTCTGGGAGTTAAAGGAACTTGTTCTAACCCAATGTAAAGAAACTAAGAACTTGGAAAAAAGGTTCGATGAAATGTTGAAAAGAATAGACAATATAGAGAGGAATACAAATGAACTTATGGAGTTGAAAAATACAACACGAGAACTTAGTGAAACATGTACAAGCTTAAACAGCCGAATGGATCAAGCAGAAGAAAGGGTATCAGAGGTCGAAGATCAACTTAATGAAACAAAACGACAAGACAAGAATAGAGAAAAAAGGATAAAAAGGAATGAGCAAAGTCTCCAAGCAATATGGGACTATGTGAAAAGACCTAATATACGCTTGATAGGTGTACCTGAATGTGACGGAGAGAATGAATTCAAGCTGGAAAATACTCTCCAGGACATTATCCAGGAAAATTTTCCTAATTTAGCAAAGCAGGACATTATTCAACCCCAGGCAATACAGAGAACACCACAAAGATATTCCTCAAGAAGACCAACCCCAAGGCACATAATCGTTAGATTCACCAAGATCGAAACGAAGAAGAAAATATTAAGGGCATCCAGAGAGAAAGATCAAGTTACCCATAAAGGTAAGCCTATTAGGCTTACAGCAGATCTCTCAACGGAAACCCTACAAGCTAGAAGAGAGTGGGGGCCAATATTCAATATACTTAATCAACAGAACTTTCAGCCCAGATTTTCATATCCTGCCAATTTAAGCTTTACATTTGAAGGAAAAATAAAATCTTTTAGGAACAAGCAAGTACTCAGAGATTTTATTACCACCAGGCCTGCTTTACAAGAACTTCTAAAAGAAGCATTATACACAGAAAGGAACAACCAGTATGACCCTTTCTAAAAATACACCAAAAAGTGGCCGGGTGCGGTGGCTCAAGCCTGTAATCCCAGCACTTTGGGAGGCCGAGGCGGGTGGATCACAAGGTCAGGAGATCGACACCATCCTGGTCAACATGGTGAAACCCCGTCTCTACTAAAAATACAAAAAATTAGCTGGGCATGGTGGCGCGTGCCTGTGATCCCAGCTACTCAGGAGGCTGAGGCAGGAGAATTGCCTGAACCCAGAAGGCGGAGGGTGCAGTGAGCCGAGATCGCGCCATTGCACTCCAGCCTGGGTAACAAGCGCGAAACTCCGTCTCAAAAAAAAAAAAAAAAACACCAAAAAGTAAAGAGCATTAACATAAAGAAGAATTTTTATCAATGAAAGGACAAAATAGCCAGTTAATATCAAATGGCAGCAACCCTAAATTTAAATCGACCAAATCTCCCAATCAAAAGATACAGACAAAATCTAACGGTATATCCAAAGATATACACAGACTCAAAATAAAGGGTTGGAAAAAAAAAAAAACGTACCAACCAAATGGAGAGCAAAAATAAATAATAAAAAGCAGGAGTTGTAATTTTCACATTTGACAAAATAGATTTCAAAGCTACAAGGATACAAGTGTAAAAGGATTAATGTAATAATAAGAGATCTTAACACCCAGATACATAAGACCCATAATGAGATTTAGATTCAACGAGACAGAAAATTGATAACGATATCCGGGACTGGAACTAAGATCCAGAACAAATAAACTCAATAGAGCTCTCCATTTTAAACACACAAAATACACATTATCCACAAAATCTAACGATATATCTAAAGATATACAAAGACTCAAAACAAGGGGATAGAAAAAAACTCACCAACCAAATGGAGAGCAAAAATAAATAAATAAAAAGCAGGAGTTGCAATTCTCACACTTAATAAAATAGATTTCAAAGCTACAAGGATGCAAGGGTAAAAGGATTAATGTAACAATAAGAGATCTTAACACCCAGATACATAAGACACATAATGAGATTTAGATTCAACGAGACAACAAATTGATAACGATATCCAGGACTTGAACTCAGAGCCAGAACAAATAAACACAATAGAGGTCTCCATTTTAAACACATAAAATATGCATTAACCACTTTAAACACTCAAAATATTGATCGGCCATTATTGAAACCCATTTTAGGAATGAAGTAATATTCCTTTTTCCCTCTTTTTCTTTTTTTTCCCTTCTTTTTCTCTTTTTCCCTCTAAAAAAAAAAAATAAATAAAATAAGAAAAAGAAAAAAAAAAAAAAAGAAAAAATACATTTTTTTGTTTGCCGAGGCCACACTGTCATTATTATGACAGTTGATAAAAGGGAGAATCAAGCTTTTATTCTTCCTTTGCTGATAGGCTATTTTTAATGTAAAAGAGCTCATGAGAAAACACAATTTTTAATAGAAGAATGAGAACTAATACATGTGGAGAAAATAATTAGAAAACCACTATTTGGCAACTGTCACTGAGATAAGTGAAATTAGGAAATAGTAATCAATCGATAACTGAAGAGTTATGTCAAAGGAACAGGCAGGCATTCCTGGATTCCTCGATCAACCTTAAAGTGGTAAAACCACACACGTGTATCCAAATGTCCTATCTGAATTGAAACATGCTGGTAGCTTAATATACAGAGTGACTTTGAAAATTTAATATCCAACCAAATCATTGATAATACTATATCCATCACCTATTGAAACAATATTTTTTGATACATTTGGTTAAATCATTGTAATACATTCCACGTTTTTTCTTTTCTATCGCTACTGGGACATTTAAAATAACACACGTGGCTCTCATTTTATTTCTATTGGACATTGCTACCTGAGAGGACGTTCTCTTTTCAAGTCAGGCTGCCTCTAATCCCACTGGGAGCAAGAAAATTCAAGATGCCTCCTTAAAAGACAAGAGGCTAGGAAAGTGTGAAATCTGAAATGTTAAAATAATTATCATAGTGTTTCCAGTTGTAAATATCACACAGATTACTCATAAATGGACATAATCTTTTGTATACGGTTAAATGGGAAAGTCCCAGGGGGCGCCAGGTATCAGCAAAGGGCAGAATCCTTGCCAGAAAAGGACTGCAGGAAAGAACTCGGCCTTACTGAGCCCCTGGTCTGATTGCATCTCCTGTCACTCAGGACTGAGGGGGCGGGGCCTAAGGCCGTGTCCAATCGAGCGCTGGGAAGGGAGCCGTACTCTCAAGCGCACGGCGAAAGGAGGGGCAGCTTCCGGGACCTGGCGGGGTCTTTGTGTTAGGCAGCGCGGATGCGGACAGCTCGGTGCCTCCGCGCTGTTCCCTCCCCTTCGCCCTGGGAGGAGGGCCCCGTGGTTCCGCGCAGCTTTTGTTGCTCTGGGACGTGCAGGTCCTGGAAGGTCCTTAGGGAGGACCCCAGACACCCGGAGACTGGGAAATGGTGAGTTTGCCGGCCGGGTGTCTGAGGGGAGCGGGGAGCCGGCAGGAAGCGGTTGTGGCTGACCCGGGCCTCCCCGCGGTGCGGACCCGAGTTTCCGTTGGTGCCTCGCGGCTTTAGCGGCACCGGATGGGGGCTGGACCAGCAGCCAGACCCGGGGCGGCCTGGCGTGTCTCTGCCCCGCCGCGCCTTCCAGGCCCGGAGTCCATTCTGGGCAGCTGTGCCCCTGCAGACCCGCGTCTCCCTCGGCTTGCGCGGTGCCCACGGGAGGGTCCCAGCGGAGAGTCCCGAGTTGGGGTTTGGGGTTCCTGTGTGGCAGGAACTGTGGTCTGGGAAGTCCCCCAAACCTCCTTTCTCCTGTTAGGAATAAAACTGAGGCGCCTTTAAAATATTAAAGAGTTTGTTTGAGCAGAGACGTGAATGAGGAAGCCACCAGCGTGGTTTGTGGTTTGGTGAAGGAAAGGCTTTTTATAAGGAGCCCGAGGAAGCAAGCCAGGGTGGAGCCGCCTCCCGTAGACTGTGGGGCTAGAGATCTCCTGGTTATGTAATCAGAGGTTAATTGGTGGGTTCGTGGTTACCGCTGTTTTATTTCCCTTTAAGTTACTAATTTACAAGCAATGCATGAGTTACTTTTTGGTTGGTTTATTCATGTGTGTATGTACATATGTATGATGGAGTCTCGGACCTTGTACTCAAGCGATCCTCCTACCCCAGTCTCACTAGTACCTGTATTTAATTATTTTTAACACTCCACCTGCCTTTTCTAAATGTATGGCAAGCAGAATCTCACATCAACGACCCTGTTCCCACAGCCTAACTCTTATGGGACTTGTAGTAAAAGCTGAAATTTCCAATTCTTTGCCTACATTCAAATGCAACATTATCAAGTCTTTGCGTTTTATGGTACATTTCGTACAGATGCAGTATGTTATTTTTTTCAGGGTAGTGAGTCGTTCTTAAAATATTTCCGAACGTTACACATGAGTAGAAAGCAGAAAATAATCAACTGACAGTTAATTGTAAAAAGAAAAAGAAAAAAAAAAAGACTTTGCGCATCTCCTCATATTGTCTTTTTTGAGTGTGCACATCTTATCAGAATATCTTTGGAGTGAAGTTCCCCTTTGGACACTTTAGAGGGTGATATGTCCTCAGCCACCCTCGTATCTTTTCTTGGTCCTCTGGTTTAGCGGCCAGATCTCTTGGAGTGTCTAATGAATATCTCCTCCTGAGTCATCTCCTCCCAGAGGACAGTTTGAAATATGGGAGAAGAGCCTTTCCAGGCAGCATCTGGGTGCCCTGGAGGTGAGAGACGTCTCCTAGTATACTCTTCGTCTAAAAAGCAAATCCCGGGGGCATTAGGATTTTCTTCCTCCAACCACAGTTTTCATACTTCCGTGGAGACACGTAGGTGGGCAGCCAATCAGATGCTGGTGTTAAGGCAAGGAATACCCACCCCAATGAGGTGGTGCAAGAACCAGAAAAGCACCATCATCAGAATTATGTAAGAAGGGAGTTGGCTGAGTGTGGTGGCTTTCACCTGTATTCCCAGCATTTTGGGAGGCTGAGGTGGGGTGGATCACTTGAGGTCAGGAATTTGAGACCAGCCTTGCCAGTATGGTGAAACCTTGTCTCTACTAAGAATACAAAAATTAGCCCAGCATGGTGGTGGTTGCCTGTAATCGCAGCTACTCAGGAGGCTGAAGCAGGAGAATCACTTGAGGCCAGGAGGTGGAGGTTTCAGTGAGCTGAGATGGTGCCACAGCACTCCAGCCTGGGTGACAGAGCGAGAGTCAGTGTCGGAAAAAAAGGTTTATTCTGAAGTATTGCAGTGGGGAAAATGCAAGGTATAAGAGCTGCAAGCATGTTAAAGTTTAGGCAGAAAAGGGCTTAGTAATTCAGGCATACAGTGGGGCACAGTACAGTGTTTTCTTGGGAGGGTGGTCATTGAATATTTCTGTGAGGAGAATGGGACTGTGAGGATCTCTGAAGTGATAAAATAACCCAGCTTGTCACTTGAGTGAGAGATGTTGGTGTTCCTTTCAGCACAACCCCTCCCCAAGTTTATTGCCTTGAAGAGATTTATTCACTTAGTTCAGCTTCAGTTTTTCATTAACTTTAAAATATATTTTATTCATACAGCTTGAAAGAATATATATATATATATATTTCTAAAGAGACAAGAAAGAGGTGGTTTTCAGTGGGGAAAAAATCTAGTCATATTCCAAGGCAGGGGGTGTAATGAGAGCCAGCTTCCTCTGTCCCCCTCGCTTCCCTGTGGCTGTTCACTAAGAGGAAAAAAAAAAAATTCTTGTTAACCCCTTTCTTCCCAAAAGTGAATGTAGTAAGTTTCTCAGGTCTATTCTTTTTTGAGAGTGATTTCAAATGGAATTCTAGGGCTTTTGCCTTGGGAATGGTATTTGTTTTCATGCTGCTGATAAAGACATACCTGGGACTGGGCAATTTACAAAAGAAAGGTTTAAAAGACTTAGGTTCCACATGGCTATGGAGGCCTCACAATCATAGCTGAAGGCATGGAGCAGCAAGTCACATCTTACGTGGAGGGTGGCAGACAGAGAGCTTGTGTAAAGAAACTCCCGTTTTTAAAACCATCAGATCTCATGAGACTTACTATCAGGAGAACAGCATGGGAAAGGCCTGCCCCCATTATTCAGTTACCTTCCACCAGGTTCCTCCCACCACATGTGGGAATTGTGGAAGTTACAATTCAAGTTGAGATTTGAGTGGGGGTACAGCTAAACCATGTCATAATGTTACCAGGGAAAAGTAGGGAAAAATCTCTTTTCCATTATGGCTACAGAAAAAAGAATACATTTCCACAAGCAAGTGTTGTAGATAAATTGGAGAATCACAAATATTTATCAAAACATCAGTGCCTCCTTTTTGTAGGGTGGAGAATTTATAACAGTGGATAACCGTGTTCTGTATCCTGTTACCTGGATATTGGGGTTTAATGCTAAATTTATTTTATTTTATTTTAATATCTTTTTTTTTTTTAGGGAGGGAAGGAGGAAGGGAGGAAGGCAGGAAGGGAGGGAAGGAGGAAGGGAGGGAGAAAGGAAGGGATGAAGGAAGGAAGGGAGGAAGGGGGGGAGGGGGGAGGGAGGGAAGGGAAGGGAAGGGAAGGAAGGAATTCAAGCAATGAGAGAGACATTGCCGACATGGATCTAGAGGTTTACAAGTTGATTTCTTTTTTTGAGAGAAGGAAAGAAAAAAAAAATGAGTAAAGGAGAGAAAGGAAGAGGAAGAGAGAGAGGGAGGGTGAACGGAAATATTGCTTTATTCTGAAAAAAAAAAAAAATGGGTATTAATAATGGCCAGTGTTTCATTTAAACCTATGAGTAGGTGTGATGTGGTATTGACAAGAATGTTTATTTTGTGTATTTGAAGTGGGGAGCTCTATAAATATTTATTAAGTTTACTTGTTCTGGATCTGAGTTCGAGTCCTTGATATCCTTATTAATTTTCTGTCTCATTGAATCTAAGTCTCTATGTATCTGGGTGTTAGGATCATTAGCTCTTGTTGTTGCATTGATCCTTTTACCACTATATCTTTGTTGCTTTAAAATCTATTTTATCCGATACGAGAATTGCAACTCCTGCTTTTTATTTATTTATTTATTTATTTATTTTTGCTCCCCATTTGGTTGGTAAATCTTTCTCCATCCCTTTGTTTTGAGTCTTTGTGTATCCTTGCATGTGAAACAGGTCTGGATGTAACATGCCGTTGGGTTTTGGCTGTGTCTTTTGATTGGGGAATTTAGTCGATTTAAATTTAGGGTTACTGCCATTTGATGTTAACTGGCTGTTTTATCCTTTCGTTGATGTAAATTCTTCTTTATGTTGATGCTCTTTACTTTCTGGTATATTTTTAGTAAGGCAAATACTGGTTGTTTCTTTCTGTGTGTAATGCTTCTTTCAGAAGCTCTTGTAAAGCAGGCCTGGTGGTAATAAAATCTCTGAGTTCTTGCTTGTTCGTAAAAGATTTTATTTTTCCTTCAGTTGTGAAGCTTAGTTTGGCTGGATATGAAATTCTGGGCTGAAGGTTCTGTTCTTTGAGGATGTTGAATATTGGCCCCCACTCTCTTCTGGCTTGTAGAGTTTCTGCTGAGAGATCTGCTGTAAGTCTGATAGGCTTGCCTTTGTGGGTAACCTGACCTTTCTCTCTGGCTGCCCTTAGTATTTTCTCCTTCATTTCAACCCTGGTGAATCTAACAATTATGTGCCTTGGGGTTGCTCTTCTTGAGGAATATCTTTGTGGTGTTCTCTGTATTACCTGGGGTTGAATATTGACCTGCTTTGCTAGTTTGGGAAAATTTTCCTGAATAATGTCCTGAAGGGTATTTTCCAGCTTGGATTCATTCTCTCCGTCACATTCAGGTACACCTATCAAACGTAAATTAGGTCTTTTCACATAGTCCCACATTTCTTGGAGACTTTGCTCATTCCTTTTTATCCTTTTTTCTCTAATCTTGTCTTCTCATTTTATTTCATTAAGTTGGACTTTGACCTCTGTTATCTTTTCTTCTACTTGAACAATTCGAATGTTTAAACCTGTGCATACTTCTCGGAGTTCTTGTATTGTATTCTTCAGTTCCATTAATTCACTTATATTCCTCTCTAAGTTGTCTATTCTCAATAGGATTTTGTCAAACCTTTTTCAAAGTTCCTAGTTTCTTTACGTTGGGCTACAACATGTTCTTTTAACTCACAGAAGTTTCTTATTATCCATTCCCTGAAGAGTGATTCTGTTATTGGGATGTGCTCGTTCTCCGTCGAGCCTTGTTCCATTGTTGATGTGGAACTGTGATCATCTTTAGAGGGAGAGGCGTTCTGATTTTGAGTATTCTCAGCCTTTTTACGCTGGTTTCTTCCCATCATTGTTAATGCTAAATTTTATGGGCCAGGACTTGGCAACTCCTAGAGATGATTTGTTATCATGAACATAATAAATAAGTGACATGTTTGTTGTATGGTAGGGATAG